GCGTTTCAGGCTCAACATTAGGAAAAACTACTTTACAACGAGGGTGTCCAGGCTGTGACCATTACTCCTAGTTTTCCCCAAGGGTGCCCCAGTGAACAGTTGTTCTCCGAGCCCTAGATGTACGCTTCTGATGTAGCAATAAGCTGCTACCAGGTCCCCTTTTAGCCTTCTCTTTTTCAGGCTGAAGAGTCCCAGGTCCCTCAGCCTTTCCTTGTATGGCTTGCCATGCAAGTCTCTGATCATGTGGTTAGCCCTTCTCTGGACTCTCTCAAGCTTTACTGCGTCCGTGTTAAGGTGCGGAGCCCAGAACTGGATGCACTACTCCAGCTGCTATCTCACCAGTGCTGAGTAGAGCAGGAGAATCACTTCTTTGCAATGGTTTTGCTGGAGATGCATCAGTTGATGCATGCCAGCGTATTGTTGGCCCTGTTGCCTACAGCATTGCAGTGCTGGATCATGTTCATACTGTGGTCAATTATTACCCCCAGGTCTGTGGTGGCAAGTGATGGGGGATCTTCAGTCCTGCTGCCTAATGAGAGGCAGCAGTTGCACAAGCACCCGTGACATGAGTTATGCCTATGGGCAGCTAGGGGTGCAGGGCCCCAGAACCTCCCTGCACCTATCTCGTTGACAGCTGGCAGGCTTTGTGGCCTCAGCAGGGGCTAGCAGGCCTGCAGCTTTCCCCCTGCTGCGCCTTAACACACAGTGTCACCCATGTCATGCGTTTTGCTTGTCCGCAGCTGGAGGTGCAGTTTCCCCCAAAGCCCTGCACCTATCTCCTTGAAACTTGGCAGGCTTTGTGACCTCCACAGGGGCTAGCATGCCTGCAGTTTTGACCCTGCTGTGGCTTAACACATATACAGGACACAAGTTTGGTGCTCAAGACTTTGGGGTGCAGTTTCTCTGAACGGCCTGCACCTATCTTCGTGAAACTTGGCACGCTGCATGCCCTCAGAAGGGGCTACTATTTCTGCAAGTTTTATCCAAATCTGGCCAGAAGTGACAAAGTTATAGGCCATTTCAACCTTCCCCATTATAGCCTATGGGCAAAACGTCAAAACAGCATCGAAACGGTGAAACTGCAGCCATTCTAGCTTGGGATTTAGTTTTCATAGATGCTTTCTTGGCCTCTCTCCTCCACTTTCCATGTT